GGGCGCCTGGAGCCGGGAGAAGGGGGCCGCCCCCGGGGACGTGGAGGGCCTGGTGCGGGAGGTCCGCTTCCCCATGATCCCGCCCGAGGACCTCTTCCAGCTGCAGAGCAACCTGAGCCTGTACCGCAGCCACCGGGCCCTGTTCCAGGAGCAGACGCTGCAGGCCCTGGAGTTCCACACGGTGCCCCTGCCGCTGCTGGCCCAGCTCCGCGGCCTGAACCTCAGCCAGGACGCCTACCAGCCCCGGCTCTACACCTCGCCCACCTGGAGCTGGGCCGTGGCCAGGAGCTCCCGAGACTCCTCCCGCCCCTCTTATGACTCGTACCCCTACCGTTATGGCTCGTACCCCAAACGCTATGACCGCTATGACCGTTACGGTCGCTACGGCCCTACGTCTGCGCCCACGGGGTACTTCCAGACGCCGCAGCACCCCAGCTTCCTCTTCCGGAACAGCCGCATCTCCTGGACCCTCATCTACCTCCCCACGGTCCAGAGCTGCTGGAACTACGGGTTCTCGTGCTCCTCGGACGAGGTGCCCGTCCTGGGCCTCTCCAAGTCCGGCTCCTCCGACCCCACCATCGGCTACGAGAACAAAGCCCTGATGCTCTGCGGGGGCCGCTTTGTGGCCGACGTCACGGCCTTCGAGGGCGGGAAGGCCGAGATCCCCAGCGCCCTGAACGCCAACAGCTCCCGGAGGGCCTCCTTCTTCCCCTGCCCCGCAGGCTCCTTCAGCAGCTTCCGGGGCGTCATCCGCCCCTTCTACCTGACCAACTCCTCGGGGGTGGACTAGCCGGGGGCTGCCCTCCCCCAGGGGCAGGCACTGAGCCCAGCTCCTTCCCCTCCGCAACAGCCGCCTCCCACACCGGCCTCCAGATGTCCCCCTGCACCCACTGATCTCTCTGAGCTGAAAGAAAGCGCCGGAAGGTTCCAGCGAGGCTCACCCCAGGCTGAGAACCCCCAGTTCCCGCTGCCCGCTGGTCGGAAGCGAGGAGACTGGGCCTCATGGCTGCCGGGCCTTCCTCGCCGCCTTCCCGCTCAGTCCCGTCTCGGATGATTAAAGTTGCACGGTGCTGCCGGCTCGTTCACGCAGAAGGGGTGTGGCGTCCGTTCTGCCTCAGGCGCTGGGGGTGCCGGCCCCGGGGTGCAGCGCACAAGCAGACCCGGTCTCTGTCCTCCCCAAGCCCCGGGCTAGTGGGCGACACGGGCGATTGCACGTGAACACACACGGATTGGGTATTAACACTGGGGTCATGGGCACCGTGGGGCCGCGCTGGGGGCTCCGGTGGGGGCCACCTGACTTCCGGGGAGCAGGGCGTGTCTCCGATGGGAGGGACAGCAGGTCCAGGAACCTGTCCCCTGTTAACCGTGTGCACAGGGATGAGGGACACAGACTCACGCCAGCATCGTTGGTAAGAGCGAAAACTCGGGAACAAGGCAGCTACCCGTCGACGGGGCGGGGGCGGGGGGGCCTGGGTCACAAATAAAAGACCCGCGGTGGGGGTGGTCCGGGAGGAAGGGGGAGCAAGAAGGTACTGGGCGGCCGGGCCCAGAATCCAGGCAAAGGCAGGAGGGCCAGGCCTGGATGTCCAGTGAGGATGGCGGCACTGGGTCCGAGAGCAGGGGCAGGCGCTCCAATCCCC